TCGGAGGAGTATACGAAAGAAAAGAAAAACAAACAAAAATTAAAAGAACAATGACCGAAGTTGCAGAAGATGGCGATCGGTTTGGTTTTGGAGAAAAGGGTTGAAAACAGGTCGAAAGTATGACGAAACGAGACGAGAAAAGCAAGAAACAAAACGAAGGTCACAAGAAAACGTCGGGTAACGGCCGATTTGGATACAAGCAGACCGAGTGAGAGCAGAGTTGCAGTTTTAATGAGTGAAAGTCATGAAAGAATGAGAATAAAGAGGTTGTCGGGGAACACTACTCGACCCAGGCCCAAGACATCAAGTGACATGGAAAGGCGAGGCAAACGAGAGCCGGACGAAACGGATAAGGTGGACAGAGACGAGCAGAGACGAGCATAGACGAACAGAGACGAAGGACAATGCCGCAACGAGAATGGCTTCTCTGTCCGTCAAATGCCTGACGTGTTCTTTTCGTCTTCGTTTCCTCTCTTTTCTCTCGTTTGTGAATAACTCTCGTCTTCGATCGTTGGTAGATGAGGCTTTGTCAAATCCGAGTCAATTGTCTCAGCCGCATTACGGTGTCCGACGTGGTGCCAGACAAAATCACGTGAGACCTGGCCGGAAACAGAAGACGACGGGCGGATATATGCTGGACAGCAGCAGCGTGGAATTCAGTGCCACGCGAGCCTGTGGAATGGGGCGAGACGGTGAGGCGAGCGAGGGGTGGGATAGCGAACAAAAGCTTACGACGAAGGGAAAAGAAGGAAAAGAAAGCAAAGAAGGAAGGGGGAATGAGGCTATTCAGAGATCAGAAAACGTCCGTGAAGAAATAAAAAACAATGACACGACCAGCTCCTGAGATTCTGGGAAGGAGCACAACACACACACTGCACACACACACAGCGCTGGCCAGCCCATAATCTAGTCCTTTTGCGTCGAGAAGTGTGAAAAAGCAGGGAAGGCGCACTCAGCTGTCGGTGTGTTTGCCTTGCATGGCCAGTAGTTTCCTTGTTTTGGATTAGTGCCATCGAAGCAACCCATTAGCGTGGGTTACATCAAGCCCTTTACGAGGTTTTTGGACGAAGGCAGGAGGTGACAGCTGCGTGCATCAGATTACGAAGTCGAGCAGACCCTGGAATGGGGAAAGGAAGGAGCGAACGAGGGGAGACACGACATGACAAGAATGGAAAGGAGTGATGCTCGTCGTGTCTGCAAAAAGGGAAAGAACCTTCGATGTACAATATACGACATACACCAAACAGCGAAGGGCAGGAACGGACGGAAACAGAAGCTATCTGGCGTTCCGCCGATCCTTTTCCCCTTAGACCGTAGCCCTTCACCAAAGGCAGGAACGATGAAGAGCCACACCGCACTAGAGGCCACAGCTATCTGTGCTGACATTTCTGTACGAGGTCTTTGGAGTATCCTGTGCAGATACGTTCGCACTCTGTGCTACGACGACGATGGTGGTCCACTACGGTCGGCGTAGAGCAGTCTCAATAACAGTGTGCTAACGAAGCAATCAAGGCCGCGAAATCTTTCCGAGACGACTAGCAAGGAGCAATCGCCGGCGGTGACGTCCATGTTGTTATCTGCCTTTGTCGTTTTTTTTCCGGTCCTTTCTTTTGAAGGTCATCTTGAGTAAATATGAGTAGATTGTGCAAGGTAGGCAGCCGATGATGTTATGTTATCATCTGTTTCCTCCATCAGTCTCGTAGCCGAGGCGGGGCATTGGCCAATGGGATTGGCGCGGGGACCACGAAATGCCAAAAGAAAAATACAATTGGGAGTGTAGACTGGCCAATCAGACCTCTTGTCGACTGTTATGGCTTGGCCGAGTTGGAAAGCCCAGCTCATGACACAGTACGGCTCCGCTACGTTCGGCGGGCTACAAATAGTGTGGTTTTGCAGGGCTTGGGTTTTGGCTCGCAGGGTTCCTGTGTCTGAAATTGTGGATGCTTTGGGTGGTGTGGCGACTGCTTTCGTCCACTGCGAATCTTTATCAGGAACCAACTGGAATTCTCTTGTCTCAGAAGCGGCGGGCCAAGAAGGGCTGTATCAGATTCTTGCCCGGTTAGGAAATTTCACTCGTTCGTCAAGAGAGTTGAAGAACGTCATTGAAGTGAAAGGGAAGCGAGGCACCGACGGATTGAAAAAGTGTTTCACTTGCACGGCGGGCATATCTGACTTTGGTGATCTGACGTGCACTCGCTCATCGACACTTGGTTCCTAGGTTCCACTGAGTGCGACGCTGCGAGGCTCCACAGAGCAGGGCAAAACCTGTCGAGCTACCACTGATACGACGCAATGGGGTGTAATAATCAGAACGCTTACGGAGTAGGTGCACGAGCGAGACGAACAAGATGGAGAACTGGAAAAGAGCGGAGAACTACGTGCCCGAAAGGTTATGTATGCGGTGCGCGTCTTATGGGGGGGGGGGCACTGCGTTGTTGTGGGCCTGTTCTTGAGCCTTGTTGAAAACACCATAGACTAAATCGTAACTAGAAGATGAATCGGGTGGCCAAGCAGAGAGAAACATGCCGACGGGAGAAAGGAGATCGATTTATGAATACTGATCCTTAACTCAGTAGCAACGACCCACAGCTCCTTCGCTGAATCTTTTCGCCAAAGTGAGGGGGGCTTGGCTACGAGATGCATGGTTGTTTTCCTGCTCAGCATGAGGCCTCGTTCCTTTGCGAAGTACGCGGCCGATGGTAAGTATCATTGAGCCCCTGTTTCTTGCCGTCTTGTTTTCTGCTGATATTTCCTTCTACGCTTTGTTTGTTTACGGGGCATAATGCTGCGTCTTTAACCTTTGGGGATTTTTGAAGATGACTAGTTGGCCGCGGCCACGAGTCTTTTAAAGTGGAAAGTGCATCCCGTCTACTAAAGTGGAAAGAGCATTACGCCGTGCGACATAAATACAAACGTGTTTGCTCAAGCTGAGCAAGAGAATGAGCAATAAGTGCCCCTTGTAAACAGCGAACGACGGGCCGCTTGTCTCATTTGCCGCTTGCATTGTCACGTTGAGTTGCTCTTATTTATTATACGTTTATCAGAAAGGAGGTGTCACTTTGTCTGTCTACGCACGAGGGCAATTGATCCAAAGCTGGGTGACGGTGAACGGCTAATCCGGATCTTCTCGTGCGATTTTGTTCGCGCACTCATACCTGGAGAGTGAGCGAAAATGGGGCGTGGGAGACTGACCACCACCCATGCTGGCTCGTATTTGTCGTCAGCCTGTCGACGTGTGCGACTGTGAAATGGCAGAGTGTGGAACACAGTAGCTCACGGTCAGGTTCTTGTCCCCCCGTGCCCCTGTCTGTACATATCGTAAACTATATATATCGTATGTGTCATGTGAAGGGGAGATAAAGCACATGAAGCAGGTTGTCCAATGAAATAGTGAAAATGAATGGGACATCCAAATCGGCATGGTACGAATGTTTTGTTTCACAAGGGATGGGGCCGCTAACTCTCGTTTATCGCGCAAAGACGCCAGTGTTCCGGCGATGCTGAGTGTGACACACGGATGCTCTCATTTCTATTTTTTGTTTCGATCTGCAATGGCCTACGAGTAGTAGATTTTTGCTTTGTTTTTAGAATTGCACGGAGTAACCCGTATTCTCCGTTTTTATTTAGCTAGGTGAAGATGACGAAGAGATCCGTCAACAAGGCCACTATCATTTGTCCTACACATACAGGGTTGTTTCCGTTTCTGTTTCTGTTTCTTTTTTTTTATAAGGAGGAAAATATTGATTTGATAAACACCGTGTTTGATAAACAATTGTGAGCCAGGCATCTGAATTGTCATCAGTCACAAAATTTATCTGATAACATGATATTTGCCAGACGCGGTGGGCATGAAGTACCAGCTATCCTGTTGGTCATTTTGATTCGGCAAACCACGGAGTATCCTGGTCCCCTTTGATTCCTAACTGCTCTTTTTGCTACCGGTCGTATGCGCATGGGGTCCCAGCGCCTGCGTCGAAACATAGCAGGTTTCAAGATGGCAGGCCCCCTTACTTTGTGGAGGGGCTGTTTTTTTTCTTCTCGGGAGCTGGTGAGCGCCTTTTTTGTTTCTTGGTTGTGTGCCAATCATCCGCAGACACACGCCCACCAGGCTCCCACTTTTGTCATCCTTTTGCGAGGCTTTGTTCAACCGCCGTATTCCATCGTAGTGTCCCCCTGTCTTCTTCCCCTGCCGCTCTACCCTCTCATTTTCATAAGATTAGCACTGATCGACAGCACCTTATCAGCCCTAGTGACTCGGAAGCATAAATCGCTTTTTATCACAGAGATCCGCGACTGTTCGTCATCATATCTCGTCACTCTGGAGGTCGTATGCGGCGGCTCTACCAGTCTTCATCCCCCTGACATATCGGGCATCCCATACGACATACGATGTACAGTGATCCGTCTTTTACCTCTCATCGCGCCTGTGAGAGTTTCCCTTGCTTCCCTTTGCCCACCTTCGCCTATCGTGAACACCGCCGGCTTTCATTCTATATTCCCTTCTGGGCTTCTTTGAATGTGGCTGGAGCACGTCCCGTTCCCCGGCATTAATCTATCGGATACTATTCGACGGCAATCGTATTCCTCATACTAGCCCAAAGTTCATTTCGTGGTGAATGCGTCGTCCAGGCACTGAAAGTCACTAAGTGACAAATTAGTCGACGAATGATCGCAGCATCCGAACACACTTTCGTGAATTCGGGCCCATGACATCAAACTCCGCGGTAAAAAACCTTTCATCGTCATGATCGCCAACAGGGTACCTCTCCACCCCCCTTGCTACGCAATTTCGGGCATGGACACATTGTACCTTAATTCCTCTCGTTCATGCTTTATCGTTTCATTCCTCCTACGCTGACGCACCGCATCGTCTTTCCAATCATCTCTGGACTACACTTGCACTGCCCGTTCGTCTTGTCGGCTGCATCTTTCCTACTGGATTTATAGCTGCTTATATGGAGTCGACTGTGATCCCTCTCTGCGATGCATTTGTTCTCGTTTACTAATGCCACTTTTCGTTCGCGACGTATTAACCGTGTCTTCCGACTGCCACGACGTACGAAATACTACGACATACATGTGACACTCTCGTTTTCCTCCTGGATCCCAAGCCTCTTATCATCCCTTGGTCGTCCCTTGGACGTGCCCGAAACTGCCTTTGCGCGCGCTTAGCCACGCGTTTTGCCGTCCTGGTCTGTTCTCTGCGTGCCTTTGTTAATCGGCTCGACCGGTTCCGTACACGCTGTATGCTTTGCCCGTTCTACGCCGCGTTTTCTTTGTCCATTCTGTCCCTCGCGTTGCTTCGTGGCGTATTCGTCCTTGTGCAATGCTCTCCACCGCAAATAGAAAAGCCCAAGATTATTGCTGCCGTTTCCTCGTTTGTGTAAAATCTGCTCCAGTTAGTTATCTGGCAGGCATCGTTGCTTTCCGCAACTTTGGACCCCCCCCCC